GCTCGGCGATTGAGCCGCACGGCAGCGGTGGCATCTAGGTTGTGGATGGGCTCCAACATGCATGCATATATGTATATGTGTGCACATACGGCTGCATCTATATGGATATACAAATAGATATGTATATACGCCCCCTTCAGAGCTCATTCATGCTGGCTCCGACTCGTCGTTCCCAATCTCCTCTTGCACCTCCTCATCATCCTCATTGTCATCCTCTTCGTCTGTTTCCGCCTCCTCCTCCTCCTCCGCTCTTCCTCCTCGTCCTTCGTCTGCTGCTGCTCCTCCTCATCCCTCCAGAAACAACATGCGAAGTAGGATGACCTGAAACTGCACATGTACACCATACAACTCTTAAGCTTATTTCTGGGAAGCCATGTGAAACACACATACGCAGCAGATAATGATGAAGATTGCGTTGAGGATGCCCTTCGAACATACACACATAAGCTTGAATATTGTGTTGGTGAAACTATGTCTATGATCCATCCCTCTTGAAATCCGAATGCAATTGCATTACAATCCAATCAACAATCCTCTGGGCCTGGTATCTGCTCCGTTCCAGTCGAAACCCTCTTGGGACCCGCCTCGCATGCAACACGATCTTGTGAGAAGGAGCAGGAGGAGGAGGAGGAGGAGGAGGAGGAGGAGGCGGAGCTCTCGTGCATGACCATCTGGGGGCAGGCAACAGAACACAATTGAGAACGAGATTTCTAATCTTGGGGGCGAGCATACACACTCAGACATCATCTCTGAATACATATATATATATATATGTACTAGAACCATCGCGCGCCCTTCGCGCGCGCTCAGGTTCTAGCCCAGGCCAGGGGGGCGCTGGACGATCTTGGACAACGCTATCAAGCACAGGCGCGCGACGGCATCTGAGGAGCTTCTGGGGTGTTCTGCATGCTTCGTCAACTGGCTGTTGGAAGCACCTCTTGGGTGCCTCTTGGGGGGGCGTCTGAGGGTCCCTTAGGGGCATCGGTTCTGCAATCTGAAGCCGTCATTGGCCGTCTTGGCTGCGTGGAGGCCCGACTTGAGGCCACCTGCGGCCAGATTGAGGCAATCCGGAAGCCTCCCGGGGGCCTCCTGGAAGCAATTTGACGCATCGAGGGCACTTTTGGGCTATTTTAAAACTTTTTGGACGTCTCCTAGGGGCCTTTTGGGCCCTCGGGAAGCTTTTGGGGTCCTCGTCGGACCACTTTGGGGCCTCTTGCGGCCTCCTGTGGGCCTTTCGGGGGGAACGCTCTGCTGTTGGGTCGCGTTCCCCTTCTTGGGCCTCTCTTGGGGCTCTTGGGGCCCTCTCGGGCCGTCTTGGGTGCCTCAAGCACCGTCTTGGGCCCTCGCCGGCCGTCTTGGGGCCCTCTTGGAGGCCTCTTCCTCTATATTGGAGCGGTATTGGAAGCCTCTTGGGCCGTCTTGGAGCATCGGGATGCCAAAAGGCCGAAACAATTAAAACCCGTCAAAGCCCAATCGTAAAACAATGAGTTCTGCCTCTTGGGGCCACCTTGGGAGATCTCTTGGAACCTCGTCGGCCCTCTTGGGAGCTTCTTGGGGGCCTCTTGGATCCGATTGGGGGCCTCTTGGGACTTCCCGAGAACCTCTCGGGGTAGAAAGCTCGGATTGTCGGTTCGTGTTTCCCTTCTTGGGCCTCTCTTGGGGCCGTCTGGGGCCCTCTCGGGCCGTCTTGGGCGCCTCAAGCACCGCCTTGGGGCCCTCGCGGGCCGCCCAGGGCCCTCTTGGAAGCCTCTTCGGCTATCTTGGAGCTGTCTTGGAGGCCTCTTCCTCCTCCTCGTCCCCCTCCTCCTTCTCCCACTCCAGCTCTCTCTACTCCTGATTTTCCTCCTCCTCCTCCTGCAGCGTGTTCAGGAAGGCTCCCGCCGGAACCTGCTGTGCACACATGCTGTCACTGCTCCCGCCACCGTGCCCTGGGTGGCGGGTCAGAGGCCTCATGGGTGTTGGTTTGGATCTCGTGGTTGGCCTGTCGGGGACGTCGTGAAGGCAGTTTCGCAGCTTCTCGGTAGCCGTTTTGGGACCGTTGTGGGGCCTCCTCGGGGCTGTTCTGTGGCCTCTTTAGGCATCGTTCGGGCCTCCTGGGTGCCTCCTGGGGGCCTCCTGGGGCCTCTTGGGGGCTCCTTGGGGCACTCTTCAAGCGGGAGGGTCGAATTTTGGAATCGTGGTCCCCCTCTTGGGCGCATCTTGGGGCCGTCTTGGGGCTCGATTGGCTGTTTTGGGCGACTCTGGGGCCGTCTTGGGGCCCTCTTGGGCCGTCTTGGGGCGCTCTTGGGGGCCTATTGAGCCGTCATGGAACGTCGGACACCCGAAAAGGCTGGAATGCCAAAATCGTTCGAAAACCTCCGTACAATTGACGATTTCGGCCTCTCGGAGCGCTCTGGAGAGGCGTCTTGAAGCGTCGTGGAGTGCCTTGGGGGGCCTCTCGGGCCGTCTTGGGCCTATCTCGGGCGTCCTGGAGCGGTCTTTCGGCGATTCGGGGCCCGCTTGGGCCGTCTTGGGAGCCTCTGGAGGCCCTCCTGGACTATTCACATATATATATATATATATATATATATATATATATATATATTCGATATATGTGTGTGTATATATATGTGTACAACTATATGTAAGCATATCTATATATATATATATAGATATAGCTACTTCCACTCCCCAGATGCCAGGACGATGTATTTACTATGGGGACGAGCGCGGGAGGGCGAGGCCACGGCATGCCGGAGGCTATACAACTGACAGCTGATCCCGGCGATAGCCGCACACCCTCGAAGACACTGATGAGAGCCACCTGATATCCGTGCAAACGAGAGAGAGCAAGGGAGGAGCGGGAGGGGAGGCTAGAGCGAGATGGCAACGGATGACCATCAAGTGCGGCAACTTCGCCGTGGTACGCAGCATACACTTGTTAAAAGGATCAGCTACTTCCACTCCCCAGATGCCAGGACGATGTATTTACTATGGGGGCGAGCGCGGGAGGGCGAGGCCACGGCATGCCGGAGGCTATACAACTGACAGCTGATCCCGGCGATATCCGCACACCCTCGAAGACACTGATGAGAGCCACCCGAATCCCGCAGAGCAGTCCTGGCCACACCAGTGGCCGAAAACGAACTACGCACGTGAAAGAACCTAAACTACCGAAAAGAGACGACATGATTTTGAAGGCAGCATCCATCATCCATTTCTCTCTGAGAGCATTGGCAGAGCGCGTCATGGCAAGGGCGGCCGCGCGGGCGAACTGAGGCGAGTACGCCGCGGCCAGCTCGGTGCGGCGGGCAGGCGCACCTTTGTCTCGACCTTGGAGGATAAGGTGAGGCAGGCCAGTCGACGAGCAAATGCCTCCCTTGCCAGAGCACGACTTACATAAGCTGGGGAAGACGCCTGCATTCCAGCAGGCCACTGTCGCTGGCTTCTTAAAGGGTGTGCCAAAGCGGCACATGTCCATATTGTGAACGGTGCACGATGAATCCGAAAGAAGCTTGACCATCTCGGGGGCGTGCCAGAGCAGCGACCCTCGAGGGTTCTCCAAAAAGACAGGGCAGCCAATCTGGATGCAGAGCCGGATGAGCCGGCGGGAAAAGTAGAACGAGCGATTGCCTACGCGGAGGCGGTCCAGCCGAGCTCCTGACAAACCTGGTTTTCCCATGGGGAAACGACTGGAGCGCAAAGGGTCTCTGAGAGCCTGCGACCAGGACGTACAGGGAGTGCCCAGCCACAGACATGCAATGGCCTTGCTCAGAAGCCACCCGCGCACAACCGACTCGAACGTGGTGCGGAGGTGATCCTCGCAGGCCCCGTGGGCGAGGTCCAGGTCCAGGCACCCGTAGCCAAGGTCGCGGATGCGCTTGGAGATGCGACCCTGCCCCGCGAACAGTTCCAGAAACAGACAGCTCCTCCACTTGCTGGCGCCAGCGCGGCCTCGGCGGCACCGCCGCTGCAGGTGAAGCCGCGCGGCCTGAGGCGACGCCGTCAGCGCCGGCGGCGCCGCGTGGCGGCGGGGGCCCCGGGCCCTCCCCGCAGGCGGGGGCCGACGCTCGCAGGCAGCTCGGCCCACGCCAGCGGCAGCAAGGGGCCGCCCCGCAGCGCGTCCAAGAAGTTGCGCTCCACGATCTCGCCGAACAGCAGCACGTCGGGGTCCACCTTGGCGGCCCCCCGGAGGAGGCGGGTCTCCTTGCCGTAGCGGCGGAGCGAGGCCACCGTGGCCCAGCGACCCCGCCGCATGACCTGCTCCGGCGTCCTGGCGCCCCCGTGACGGAGGGAGTACAGATGCGGCTGCAAGTGCACCAGGCCCAGGGCGCGGCACGCATCCTCGAAGAGCCGAGCAATCGACGTAGGCAGGAAGTCCCACAAGGGTCCGTCGCCCGCGACAGTCCTCAGCGCCTCCAGGGCTGGCTCGAGCCACGGCGCCTGGTCCGGCAGCGCGCTCTCGTCCCGCAGGTTGGTCTTCCCAGGCAGCTGCAAGTCGGAGTCGTGCAGCAGCAGCCCCCACGGAGTGGGGGCCTGTCCCAGGTGGGCCACTGGCGGCGCGAGGTGACGCCCGGCCAGGCGGAAGGCCTCCTGCGGGCGGAGGTAGGCCGTGAACGACAGCATCACGAAGAGCCCTATGCGCGGCTGACCCCAGGCAGCCAGCGCCGCGGCGATGGCGAAGGCGGCCCGGCGCGGCAGCGGCAGGCGCATCCTGGTCGGGACGCGCCGGCGCCAGCCCACCAGACAGCGCGTCGCCCTCGGCAAGGCCTGCGCCGTCCTCTTGTACAGCGCCGGCGCGTAGTGCGCCAGCGACGCCAGCAGCGCAGAGCCCTCGTTCGGGGCGCGGCCCTCGAAGTACATCGAGTTCAGGTACGTGACCAGGGCGACGTCCATCTCGGCCTCGCTCGTCCAGTCGATGGCCATGACGAGGCAGAACTGCAGGAAGGCCGGGAGGTACACCTGGTACAGGCGCTCCGTGCCCGGCCTGACCGCCGCCCGCTCCAGCACCGAGAGGCCGC